GTGCTCTTTTGAAAATGTGCCATTAAAGCAGAATTTTCTCATCAAACCCTTTTTTTCCACAATGTAAACGACAGTGGGAGGGTTCTTGCAGAAGCAGGCGAGGTCAGAGGTTGCTGTGGCCATGTCAGGCAGTGGCTGGGGAGTGGGGACAGGATAGAATTCATGCCCTTCAGCTGTCAGGGTGCAGCTGTCCACCCGTGGGGGAGCTGGGCAGAGGTGATCAGGCCACTGTCATCCACTGTTTTCATGGTTCACGGGATATTTGCTGAGCTACATGGTCAAGGCACAGTACTGGGGCCGGATGAGCCAGACATAGTCCTCGCCCCCCAGCAGGGAGAGGGGTGATTATGGTGCTGAGGGTCTATGCAGTAAGGAAAGCATGGAGGGCACAGGACCCAATGGGGAGTGGCTGAATTCTTCGGCTAGTCCGGGAGCATGCTGAGGAATATGAACTATGTCTCAAAGGACAGGAATCAGATTTTTCCAGGGGAGAAGACAAGGAAGCAGTTCAAGGCAGGAATAGCAAGGTAGACAGAAGCCCAAAGGCTGGTGAGACATTGGCTATGACTTGGCAAAAGAGTGAGTGGGAAGGAAGGGCTGAAGTTAGAGAAGTAGGCTTCCGTGTAGATTGCTAGGAAGTGTGGCTGTGATGCCAAGGAACTTGAATTTTCTCCGCAGGTGCTGAGTCAGAAAGCAGGAGAGAGCTTGATCCGGATCTCATTCCTCCTGTACATCCCTCCGGGAGGACAGGGGTGTTCCGTGATGTTGGTGAAGCTGCACTCTTGGCACTGCCATCCGGGGAAATTTTCTGCAGTGATGGAAAGTTCTAAATCAGCACCATCTAATAAGGTGGCCACTGGCTACATGTGGCCATTGAACATTTGAAATGTGGCTAGTGCGGCTGAGGAACTGAATTTGTAATTTCATTTAATTATAATTAACTTAAGTTGCAATTTAAATAGCCAAGTGTGGGCAGTGGTTGCAGTCGTAGAGCTTTGCAGGAGGCCGTGGTTGTAGCTTGATGGAGAAGGGTGATGAGGTCTCCCCTGCAGATGAATCATGATCTGTCGGATTTCAGGGAGGAGATTGACTACAGGTTGGTTCTGATGCCATTATTGTGCTGATGCCACTATTGTGCTGGGTGCCACGAGGAGAAGCTTAAACATGCCTTTAAGGAGTCCCTGAAACACGACACACGCACAGTAGAGAGGGGAGGCGGTTGGCGTGTGCACAGGGCTCACCGGGACCCTTCCTCTTGCTGTGTCCACTGCGTGGCCATGTGAACTGCACAGAGCAAGGGTCCAGCCTGTGCCTCTTGGCTGCCAGGAAAGATGCTGGGAGTAGGGTCAATAAATCAGAAAACCATTTCGAGATGTTAGTTAAAATCTCCTGTAACAGAAAGTATACTTTAAAGGCATTGCATAGGTCTGGTCCCTTGTTATTTTGTTAGTTCTGTTGCAGTGGAAATCTGCAGAGCAGGCAGATGCTCTTTACCTGTAGAGCTTTCCTAGAAAAGCTCAGTGTAATGAATGCAACCTGTGTTTGCCACTGGAGCCATAAGCAGCTGTGTTTCCTGACCAACTTGACACCAATCCGCACGTAATTGTGACAGAATAATGTCGTGAAAGCAGAGATACCAAGGCCGTAAATCTCAGTAACTACTAGACATGATAAAATTCTGCTACTTATTCTACAAAATGAGTATAAACGTGCAATATTGGTGCATACTGATTCAGAAAAGGTCAACAATCTTCCATAAACACACAAAAATTGAACTGTGTCATAGATTAGATCTTCCTCATGCTGAATTATTAAGCGTAATAAACCCAAATTGAACAGTTGAATAAAAATGCTTTGCTCCTCCCTGAAATTTGAAGAGCATTTGAAAATGCTTTTATTTCTCTTAATAAATTCCTCCATAAGCAGCAGAAGGAAGCGTGCATAATTATTCTGTTGTCTATTCCATCCGTCTGGGTGTCAAGTTCGTAGCATCAGTAGACCAATGAAGGGGTGTGTGAGGGCAGCAAAGTGAATCGAATCAAAGTCTGTATCGGGAGGCTGCGAGGACACAGACTGGAAAGAATTTAGTTGGAGAAATGTTTATTAAGACCTACAAATGGATGCTCTAATTTTCTCCCCTTCCTATTCTTTATTTTCCCACTTTAGTTTCTAAATTCTGATTTACATATTAATATGCTCCATGTCATTATTTTTTGTTTTAAAAATAAACTGTGTTGTTTATCTTTTTAGAAAAATGATATGTGTTCATTGTAGAAAAACAGATAAGAAGGAAATAAAGAGAGGCACAATTTCTCCATCCAGAGCTGCCTGTTGTGAACAGTCGGGCAGGTCTGTCTTCAGTCATTTCTGTTTTGCGTGTGTGATTCCATAATTTTGAAACAGTTTTTGTTATCCTGCCTATTTCCAAAACATCAGTGCAATGGCTGTAGAGTATTTCATCATTGAAGTCACCTAAATTTATTTAACTAGACCCCTATTGTAGGCAATTCAGTTTTTTCTTTTTAATTTTTTTAATTTTTAATTTTTAATTTTAAATAACATTGTGATAAAAGTCCCTATATGTGAAGCCTTTGTCCACATGTGTTACTATTTCATTACGGGTAAAATTTCCCTGTCAATGGATAAGCACTTTTCCTTGGGCTACTTATAAATATTGCCATATGGGCTCTAGAAAGATCTTCTCATGTAGTTACTATAAATATGGGTTTTGAGATCAGAAAAAAAACGGAGCTGCAGTCTTGGCTTTGCAGTTCGGGATCTGTCATCAGCTGCGTGACCTTGGGCAGCTCACTTAACATCTCCAAACCTTGGTTTCCGTGTCTGTTAAGTGGGGTCATAGTAATATCTGCCTCCCACCCCACTGCTGGGTGGGAGAAGGAGACCACCCACGTGAAACGCATAGCACAGCAACGCGTTCGGCAGGACAGCCCACAGTTTATTCCTCTTTATTCTCTCAAAACCCCTGGCCACTGTTTTGTTTAAAAATTATCAACTTGATAAGTACATGGAAAGAGACACCCCACCCCATGGGCCAGGAAAGGGGTAGGGGGACGTGAGCGTCCTGGGGACCTTAAGTAGAAGACAGATTAGAGGTTAGACCCTGGAGCAACCAAAACCATTGCTGTGAAGTCTGAGCATAAATGGGGTGGGTGTGGGTTGTTCTGAAACAAAAATCGGAACAATAAAGGAAACAGTGCTGACATGGATTTGTACGCGGACATTTAGAGGCTGATTAAAGGCCAAGCTTTATCTGGCGCTCCTTTGGAGGTCTGGAGGTGTGTTTGCTGCCTGACTGCATTTGCTAGTGAGCACGATTTTGCAGGATTTCTGTAATGAAAGTGGGAGAAGGTATTAAGTAGCAGAGCCTTGATTATTACAAAGAGGGAAAGATGAGTTGTTCTGCACTGGTTGCTGTGCCTCAGCTGCCACTGAGCACGTGATCTCTCGGCCAGTGACGTGGAAGAGGCTCTTTAGCTTTCAGACCTGTTCCTCTTTTGTCCTTGTTAGTTTCTGTCTCCCAAGGCTGTGCCTTGAGTGTTGGGCTGTGACAGCTTCGTGGTGCCCTGTGAGTCTCTCGGTCCTGCAGGATGGTTTCCGCGGTTTCAGTCTTGCTCGGAGCAGGCAGCGTGCCAGCTTCCACCCAGAGTTTGCTGACTGCTCTCTACCGTCAGGTGTGCACGTGGCCCCACACCGAGAGACGTTGACTGACGTATTAACCTTGCATGGGCACGTCCTGATCGCTTTTGGAGATCGTCTGTGAAACCTGTAATCTTGAATGTCATTTATTTTGTGTAGTCAACCTCGAATTAGATTCTGTGGGGAAGAGAGTTTGCCGAACAAAGGTATGACAAAAAATGAGAGCGGTTTGATTTTATTAATCGTGGGGTCCTCTTCCCTAAATGTGAACTCGGAATCGTGAGGCAGTACATTTGCTGGAAGATGAACACGAGGACTGTGGTATGGTGTCATAAAAAGAGCACGACTCACTCGCAAAGTTAGGAGACGTAATTTAATTTGCTCTTTTGCCACTTGAAAGTGCAACTTCGGGCGCATCCATTCATTTGTAAAATCACCCCTTTGTTTATCAAACAGGGACTATACTGTGCCTTCTTTACCGTTCAGTGACAGACTGCATGTGAAAACACTTTGTAAATTGTAATATTGTACACCAATGTAAGGTCAGTATGGTGACTTTGCAGTCAACATGTTTGAAAGTTTGTTAATTTGCATTTAAACACATTTCAGTTCAATTTATTTCCCAGTCCTCTTTATCTTTCAGTCTAGTCTGGGGCCTGTAATGTTTGCTTTATTTAGGATTTGGCACCCTATATTCTCAAGAATGAATATTTGGTGTTCCTTAAAAGATTACAATTCTAAGATATTGCAGAAGTGAATTCTAACTGTACATCTTCAGAAAGCCATGGGATTTTATGCTTTCATCAAGTTGGTGACTGTTTTTTGCGATATTGCAGTAGAACCTATTATTTTTATGCCAGCTCTACACACAAAATGGCAGCACCTTGAATGGTGGCTGTACCCTAAGAGCTGTCTTTCCAGTAGGGTACCCACTAGGCATGTGTGGCTATTGACACCTTGGTTAATTAAAATTAAGGTGAATTAGAAGTTTGGTTCTTCAGTTACACTAACCAAATTCCAAACTTACTCACTGGCCAAATATGGATAACGGCTACTGCTTTGGACAGTGGAGATTATAGAACACTTCTATCATTGCAGCAAGTTCTGTTGGACAGTTCTGCTGCAGAAGAAAGGAAACTTAGTGTCACATTGCTCACAGGTATCTAGCACTTAGGTTTCGTACAGAATTTTTATGCCATTTTTAGGTTTCCAACCTAAAATAGCCACCTTTAATGGCCAGTCAGGGTTCCTCATCCACCCATCCAACAATTTTTCCAAGTCCCATTAGAGTGTTGGATGATTTCATATTTTTAAATGTTCTTTTTTCTCCGTTGGGTCTCATAGGTCCTGCGTTACAGACATGTGCGAATGTCCGGTCCATAAAAACTGCTACTGTGAGTCATTCCTGGCATATACCCGGGCCTGCCAGAGAGAAGGCATCAGAATCCACTGGGAGCCTCAGCAGAACTGTGCAGGTAGGAAGTCCTGGTGGATCCAGCCGTCAGAAGTTTACTGCAATGCCCAAGATGGCAGTGGAAGAGACTTGCGGATGCTGACATGAATGGCCTTGTCTCTCCTTGGCCAAAGGGAAATCCCATCAGTGGCCAACTGGATTGCCACTTGGTAAAACACAGCAGCTTCCCATTGGGCAGGGAAGACAGCACTTACGAGAAGTGCTTTTTGACATGCACATTTTAACAGTTTCAGGATTCCCACCATTGCAAAATTCTCTCAACCTCAAACTACCAGCTGGATGTACTTAGCTCATGAACAGTCGTAGCTGTGGCTTCGGTGGTGTGCAGCAAGGAGGTTCAGGACAATCACAGTCCTTTAAGGTCTTCAGGATAAACATGATAATTTTTTTTTGAGATTATTAGACAGGCTCTAGCAGAATGTTCTTTTCCCTGTGAGAGAGAGATTTCTATAATAGTTATTATTAGCTCTTTCACTTCAGACAAGTTAATTAGCTTATTTGATATTTGTAAAATGGACTCTTGTGCTTCTAAGAAATATTTATTACGAAGTGGCTCAGTACCGGGTATGATGCTAGACACTCTTGGTACTTTGATGACTGTAAGAGATGAGGCCCCTGTCACTGATGCATTCTAGTGGGGAGAACCAGACAGAAACAGTAACTCTACAATAAATCCTTGCAAATTACAGTAAGTATAAGGAAGGAAACAAACAGTGCAGAATGGTAGGAAACAAACTAAGGCTTGGCAGTCGGCAACTTAGATGGGTGAAGAGGGCTTCTCTGTGCAGGTGATATGTCAGCCTAGACCTGAAGGACTGAAGGAAGTCAAGGCAAGCATTCCATGCAGAAGGAACATGTTTGGCAGCCATAGGACAGGGAAAAGCTAGCATGCTCTTGAACTCGAGGGGAAGCAGTGTGGCTTGAGCCTGGTGGGCAGGAGAAAGACGGGCACATGATGGGAGTGAGGTAGGAGTGGGCGCTGGGCCATGAAGGACTTTGCAGGTTCTGGAAAGGAGTCCAGCTTTTATTCCAAGAGGAATGGAAGCCGCTGATGGGTTTTAAGCAAGCCTCTTTCTGCCTCCCGAAGATGACCCTGGCTCCTGTGTGGAGAATAGATTCGAGGGGGACAAGATTAAAAGCAGGTGAACAGGCAGGAGGCTATTGCAATAATCCTGGTAAAAAACCGATGGCATGGATTAAGAGGGTGGCAGTGTACTTGGAGTGAAGGCGAGAGATTCTAGACGTATCGTGGAATCTTACAATCATATCTGCTATGCAGAGTCGCAGGCATTAGTGATAAGCATGTGAAGCATATCAGAGTGTGTCCAGCTCATGGCAGATGCTCAGTTAATGGTGGCTGCTACTGTTGTTTAGACTTGAAAGTGAGACCACTGGATATTCCCCACCTAGTTCAAGGGCTGGCAGACTTTTCTCTGTAAAGGGCCAGATTTGCCTGGAATGAAGAGACTGGGGTTTTCAGCATCTACGCTAGTCCTAATAGTCTTTACTCAAATCTTTGAAAAGAAGATCAGGCCATCGCTAGCTCCAGAATGTCTACATTGGTGGAGCATAGGAGTGGTCATCTGGCTAAAAGGAGGGTCCAGAGAAATTGCCTTGAGGGTGTGTTTGCAGTGCACATTGTGTTCATTTAGATCAGTGGGGTTCGGCCTGGCTAGACATTGGAGTCACCCCAGGAGCTTAAACAGTAAACCAGGAAACTGTGCCTGGGTCCCATGCCGTGTATCCTGTTTCGGTCGGCCTGGTGTATCTTTTAAAACTTCCCAGGTGATGCTGACCTGCAGCCAGAGCTGAACCCGCTGAGTTAGTTTTCGTATTTACTTGAGAGTAGGAAGGTAGACATTTGGGGATTGCTGAAGCTTCCTCAACCGCCCCTTGGTGTAGCCATGAGTCTGTGTCATTGGGAAAGCACCAAAGCCCTTTTGATCTCTCTTCAGTCCTTTTGGGAAAAGGCAAAAGATTTCTATGAGAAACCAAAGTATAACTTTCCTTTTGTGCCTGCTCTGTCCTCTGCAAACCCAAGTCCCATATTTACACGAGAGTTCACCCCCACAGCAGGAGTGCCCCTCTGTCCACGCTGCCATCATCAGGGGGGTATTGATTTCATAAAAATAATTCACATTATGGTGTGCCGAGGCTGCTAAAAGGGGAGGCAGATGATCGACCTCTTACCTAATGCCTCTTTCCTAGTGCTGGGCAGAATACGTGAGGGCGATAGTTTGGGGGCATTGGGTCCTTCCAGCCTATCGTGAATACTTCTAGCTCCCTTTCTTTATTTTGAGTCCTCTTTCCTTTGAATCTACCAGAAAATGAATAAAATTAATGGAGTCAAGCGGCCATCCATTCACCCTGACGTAATGCAGGGCTCAGCAGATTTCTGGTGATCGTGCTGGCTGTGCTGGTGGTGGTCAGGATCATATTAGACTCAGGATGTAAGAGCCTTCCCTTCCTGGCCCACAGCTCTACGTAGCATCGCACATTGAACTTGAGGACCACACATTTCACACCCGTATCCTCATTTCGGGGGCTGAGTCTCTGGAGCTAAAATTACTTTTCTAATGGAAAAGGAATACGGCTTCTGAAAGGTTTCATCTACCTCTTAAGATTAGTGGAGCCGTCTGGGTGAAGTGTGACTCCATCAATGTGTAGTCAGAGGGGAATGTTTTATACACACACACACGCACACACGCATGCACACATGCACGTGCACTGTGGGCTTCCACACATGGACACTCGGTACGTGGAGAAATAAATGTGGAGATATGTAGCATCTCTCAGTAGATTCACTTCAGGTTCGTCTAGAATACTGAAGACCATACTCTTTTCTTGTTTTTAGCTCCCAAGTCTTTTGACTCATGACAGCACTTAAGGCCACATAACACAAAGAAATTTTCCAGAGTAAAAAGATTGGAAATTGGGCAAATAAGAAGCCAGCCAGGCGAGAAACTGGATGAACAAGTGACATTTTAAGGGCTAGTCTGGATTATAGCACTGTCATGACTACTAACACAGTGTATGCTCAGTAACGGTGGCAAAAAAAGGCTAACAGGACTCTAATTTAGCATGAGAATTACTAAATAGAATATAATATGCTAAGAGCTATAATGGAGGTCTATAAAATCTTAATAATAACCATTTATGTTACTATTTACTATTTTCTAAGCATCTCCTTTTCCCCAAGGACTATACTAGCATTTTATATTATATTTTATCTTATTTAATGCCCATAATAATCTATATGGTAACATTATACTACCTACATTTTACTGATAAGGACACTCAGGCTTAGAATTCAGATTGAGCATTCCATATCCAAAATGCTTGGGACCAGAAGGGTTTTAGGTTTTGGATTTTTTGGGAATTTTGGGATGCGAGGGATCTTCAAAGAGTTCATGGAAAGATTCGTATTATATTTAAATTACATTTTTCAGCTAACTTTTTGAAGTACCCTTGTACTTGCAGAATACGTACCGGTTGAGCATTTCTAATTCAGAAATCTGAAATCTGCAATGTGTCAATGAGCATTTCCATTGAGTGATCATATCAGTGCTCAGAAAGTTTTGGATTTTGGAGCATTTGGGTCCTCAGAATTTTAGATCAGGGATGTTCAACCAGTAGTTAAGTAATCTGCTAAAAGTCACAGAGGTGGACAGTGGGGCAGCCGGGAGTTGAGTGCAGGCCAGTTTGCATCATAGCCCCTGTTCTTTCTCATTATGAGAACACAGAAAAGCAAGAATATTGTAGAAAAAATTATGCATGCATGTTTATTTACATATTCATATAAGGATCAGCTAATTCATCCAAATTGACCTAGTTCGTCATTACCCTTAGTGACTTTCCAGTTTCTATTCATTGGCTCCTTATCACCAATCGTTGTTACTTGGTACCTTCTCTGTCAAATTGTGATCTTGTCTCCTGTGTCTTACGTGGCCATCCTTAGCAGAATTTCAGCCACCTTCCTGTAACTGACACTAGTTGTCACTGCACATTCAGTAATACATTCTATAAAAGAAAAAGGCCGTGGGAAAGCAGGTGTTTGTGTCTTTCTGCAGCACAATGGGTGGTGCTGAGTTATGTGAGTAGCTTTTTCTCTTTTTGTTTGGCTCTACGAACCCCAGATGATTCTAGCTCCTTCCCTGCAGCAATTTTGCCCTAATTATACACGCTGAGCTTTTCCTTGACTGGCTGGATGCCACCTGTAAAAGTTCAGGAGGTAAAATCAGATACTGTGACCTTTAGCACCCAGTAGGGGGACAGAAAGATGGCTGAGGTCTGCATAGCACAGAGCCATGCTTATTGGATGTATTGATAAAGCCAGCACATAATGCTTCTATGTGTCATCTGTAGCTGTTGGAATGCCCCCTTGAGAATAGATGCATACCAACCTTAACTACTTCGACCATTTCCTTTTTTAAAAAACCTGTTTAGGGGCCTGCCCAGTGGCGCACTGCTATAGTGCGCCGCTTGGGAGTGCGGTGGCGCTCCCGCCGAGGGTTCGGATCCCACATACAGACCGGTTCCCGCTCACTGGCTGAGCGAGGCGCGGGAGCAACGCCGAGGGTTGTGATCCCGTTGCCGGTCCCGGTCCGGTACGGGGGCGACACTGAGGGTTGCGATCTGTTGCCAGACACGGAAAAAGACAAAAAGGCAAAAAAAAAAAACCTGTTTAACCAAATGAACCTCTTTTAAATGCATGTGTGCAAGTCAAATCACATTTATGTTTAAAAAATTATCTTTTGCCTTTTATAAGTTTGAAAAACAATCAATTCAGAGTATAAACAAGGTTCAAGTCAGTATTGACTTTGTAGGATCATCTAACAGTTGTGCCGAATTGAAGGCAAATTTTATGATGTCACTCCCCAGCTTAAAACCCTTCCAAGGTGCCCCTACGCCAAGGCATGTGGGGTCATTTGTGGTCCCTGGCCCCTGCCTACTTCTCTGTCTTTATCTCTTTCCTGTCCCTCCTCAAAGTCCATGCTCCAC